AAACTGAAGTGTTATAAAGGGAATATGTAGAGAGAATCTGTTTTAGTAATACAGTGTTAATGTATAATTCAGGTTAGTAGGTGCATCTACATAAGACACTTAACTTTGCATTAGCATAGTTTACTGTGAAGTAAGCATGTGCATCTACAGTAAAAGATCTGTAAAAGATGGCTATGGTAATCCCCTTATCTCCCAGCAGCGACCCCACAGTCATGGAGCTGGTGCCTGGAGTTCCCTTCTGGTGGGGGCTGGGAGCTTGTTCTCTGTCCAGGTCCTCAAGTGGATCTGGGGAAACAAGATTCCCAGCCTGTTCCCACCCAGCTTCATGCTTACAGAGCTGAGCAGGGAACAGGCTCCTCTGCCCTCACAGTAGGGAGTTCCTAGCACCAGCTCCATGACTGGCACTGGCTCCATGACCAGAAGAATCTCCCCAGAACCCGCTCTACATGCCTGGGTGGGGACAATATCCCAGTGCCCTGGCAGCAGGGAGTTCCCAGGCCCCCTGCAATCATGGAGCTAGGGCTGAGAACAGGCTGGGAGCTGAGAACAAGCTCTCCAGCCCCCACTCAATGCTCCCAATTGTGATCATGGAGCAGGGGCTGGGAGCTCCTTGCACAGGCTGGGAGCTCCTGACCAGGACAGTTCCCAGCCAGCCCCAGGCTGTGTGGGGAAGCATGTGCAGCCTGGAGGTGGCTGAGGACTTTTCTGTTTTGGGCACTCCCCAGACAGCTCTGGGCTGTACATGCAGACCTCCCCATGCAGCCCGGGGCTGGCTGGGAACAGTTCCAGCCCAAGCCCTGTGCCCTGATTGGGCAGAGGGACATTGTCCCCACCCCAGCAGCAGGCAGCCCCCCCCAGGCCACGATACAGCTGTCCCAAAAACCCTTACTGTGCAATAGCTTACTGCACAGTAAATCTGAACTGGAGTAAATGCATGTGTAAATGTGCCCAGTGACTATTAGCCAGAGAACCCAAATGTCAGGAAGCACTAATCAAAAAATTAAGGGTCCTCATCTATTTATCAGATGTTAACATTACTATATCAGTGTTTTCTAATTTAGGAAGTAACCTTGCAGTTGCAACGTTTTGGTACAATGAAACAACTCTACTCTGGCTGCCTGTAGAAACAAACAGGAGAACACAAAGAAACTTCTAAGAGAGTTTTTTATTAACTCTGTTGATTAGCAGCATGTGCCATTGATTAAACAATATAATTGAAATAAGCTG